AGTATATCGGTAAAATAGTTATAAATTTACACTAAACAAATTTTCACTAGCATATTGCAAATTAGTAAATTTACTAAAAAACTTGTATACTAATATGAAGCGGCGCTCCGGAACCCAACGGAACCTGTTTTCCTAGTATATTATAATACATGGCACTGTTCGGGCATAACAAAAATTATAGTAGGCATTTGGGCACTAGTATTTTGCCCAGCATAGTGCCGACAGTGCCTGGCATAGTGCCAATTGTGCCCGGCATGTTTACTTGCAAAACCCTAATCATCACATTTAGCAACGAATTATTATTTTACTTCTCACACTAAACGTTTTTATGAATGATAAAAAAAATCAAGAGGCTCAAAAAATAATAGCTAATACTTATCATCTCCTAGCTTTTACCAATATGGCAACAAGTTCAACTATGTCTTTGACAAAAAAAACAAAAAACAAAAAACAAAAATTATTATTATATTATTATATTTCTAAATAAATATGTGAATAACACCTCTTTGTATTCAACAGCAGCTTTATTTACAACTAATGATTTTATAAAAAATGGAGAGGCGGTATATTGTCGTTAGAATAACATATTATAATTGGTGAAGTCAGTAAACGGAGCAACAGGGGCTGCTGAAGTTGATGCTTCGCCAAAATATTTTCAATAATTCACAGTATTTGCTTCTTGTTTAATGGTTGGTTTTGTTTTTTTATTTTTCACTTTTTTATTTTTTTTTATTTCTTATTTTGGACGAATAATAAAATAACCACTCAAATATTGATTGCAATATTTATTTAATTGATTATATTAAATGAGTACCATTACGATCACTAATTAATCACATCGAAGATAATGCTTGAGAAAATTTCAATTACATCATAAATTACATATTCGAATTCTATTTTATGTAAATATAATTTTGCTTGAATGCCATTGCGATCACTTGCTAATTACATCAGAATAACGCTTGAGAACACCCAAAAATTAATTTAATTAATTTAAAAGCTAAAAATCATGTATTTTAAAATATTTATTGAGTAATTTTTTATATTCAATTAAAACATCTAGTGTTTATTTTTTAGATTTCCTTTCAGGCGTTTTCGACGTTTGTGTAATTACGCTTGACAAATAATTTTCTTTATTAATTCCACTTTCTTGTAGAATTATTATGTGGGGCCAAAATTCTTCTTCATTGTTCATGTTATTGTGAGAAAATGGATTATGGCGGAGATCTTCTTGATGTTCCATAATTCTTTCGATTTCATATAAAAAATCTCATTCGTTTGAAGAATTACTTTCTAAATAAGTATATATTAGCTATTTGCATTATTTTGGTATAAAATAAAATTGTTACATACTTTGATTTTAAAAAATAAAGTTGCTACATACTTTGATTTTATTAAAAAACAATTTCTGTTCCTGTTTATTAGACAGATACATTCACTACCATTTGAATTAGGCTTTTCATCAAAAAATACCATATTTTGTGGAGTAAAATACCCGGGGCATAAGAAAACATTTAATTATACCCAAGTACTATACTAAGGAGATACTGTAATTGAAACGTATACAATACTACAGAGTACCATATGATTATACTAGCTCTTAGGACCTGTCATTGCTCGGGTTCGAGTTTCTAATTTTAGATCTTAATGTTGCCTGAGTTCGAGTTTCTAATTTTTCGCTAATTCTTAGTTTGTAATGATATTAGCTTTTAAATTATATTAACTCTTATAATCCAGGTGTTGCCTTAGGTTTGAGTTTCTAATTTTTTGCTAATTCTTAGGCCTCAATATTATTAGTTTTTAAGACCCAGGCATTGTCTCAAGTTTGAGTTTCTAATTTTTTGCTAATTCTTAAGCCTAAATCACAATAGCTTTAGAACTTTGTATTGTTTGGATTCAAGTTTCCTTATATTTTTTGTTTTTAAGTCTCAACTATTCAAAAGAACCTAAATTGGAATCAAAAAACTCAAATTTGGGTTAAAGAACCTGAATTGGGTTCAAAAGAACCCAAATTGAGTTCAAAAGAACCTGAATTGAAGTCAAAAGAACCTGAATTGGAATCAAAAGAACCCGAATTGGGGCTAAAAAACCCGAATTGAGGTCAAAAGAACCCAAACTAGGTCAAAGAACTCAAACTGGGTTCAAAAGAACCCAAACTGGGGTAAAAGAACTCGAATTGGGGTCAAATAAACCTATTTTCAACAAATCCAAATTGGGTTCCAAAGAACTCAAATTTGGTTTTACCAAACTTGAACCCGAATTGAGTTTAACCAAACCTGAATGTGGTTCATATAAACCTGAATTAAACCTGTATTGGGTTCTAACAATCCTGAATTCAGGTTAAAATTATTTTTTTATATTTTTTAAAGAGATAATTTATTCGACACATATGTGATGTTGTTATCTCATAAGAGAATTTTTTTTTGTTAGAGCACAAAAAGTAGTTTCTTATACAAAATTTTGAGTTATAAGCAATTTTTTCAAAACAAATATTTGTTTTGAATTTTCTTGATCATGCTATGTTACACCTGATCTTGGATTTTTATTGGTTGATCATGTGAGGCAACACATAATATATGTCGCATGGAAGCAATAAATAAATATACCCTTTTTTAAATTATTTTTTATCTTTTATACATTTTATTAAATTATTTTTTTATCTATTTTTTAATTTAAATTATTTTTTAATTATTTTTTAATTTTATTAATTTATTTTTTTTATATATTTTTTATTTTTTTTAATTATTTTATTTTTTTATATATTTTATTGATTTATTTTCTTTTGTATTTTTTAATTTACTATAAATTACTATTTTTTATTTTTTTAAATTATTTTTTAAATTACTTTTTTTATTATTTTTTAATTTTTTATATATTTTTAAATTATTTTTTATTTTTTTTATATTTTTTTAATTATTTTTTATTTTTTTATACATTTTATTATTAATTTATTTTTTTGTATTTTTTAATTTAAATTATTATTTTTTTTAATTGTTTTATACATTTTTAAATTATTTTTTATTTTTTATATGTTTTTTTGAAAATAACTACTTTTACCCGAGAGGAAATCTCCCCCCTAATTATTTTTAGGGTTAGAGTTAGAAATTAGATAATTATTTTTTTTATATATAATAATATAGAGCTACTTTAAGAGCCCAATAGGGCCCAATTTCAGTTCTTATAAGGTTTTTGGGGGTCCTAAACATTTTTACTTAGAGAATCCAATCCCATTTATTTAGTACATTTTTGAGATATAGCACCTCCGGGTAATTTCTCCCCGGGTAAAATTAGAAATTCTCATGTTTTTTAAATTATTTTTTTATATTTTTTAAATTATTTTTTATTTTTATACGTTTTATTAATTAATTTTTTTATGTATTTTTTGTTATTTTTTAATTTTTTAATTTTTTATATGTTTTTAAATCATTTTTTTATATTTTTTAAATCATTTTTTATATATTTTATTAATTTATTTTTTTTTGTATTTTTAATTTAAATTACTTTATTATTTTTAAATTTTTTAATTTTTTAATATGTTTTTAAATTATTTTTTATGTTTTTTAAATTTTAATTTTTTTAATTTTTTATATGTTTTTAGATCATTTTTTTTTTATATTTTTTAATTATTTTTTATTTTTTTATACATTTTATTAATTTATTTTTTTTTGTATTTTTTAATTTATATTTTTTAAATTATTTTTTAAATTATTTTTTAAATTATTTTTTATTTAGAGATGTGGTGACTTAGTGTAGTGGTCTAGTCGTCACCCTCTCCAAGTGGCAGATCTAGAGTTCAAATCCCACAGACGACGAATTTTGAAAAATAGCCTGTGCTATGGTTTATGGTTGTCAACTATCAGTTGGATCTAGAAATCTGTAATCTCGGTCATACCATCTAGTTATGGGAGCTTTGGCGCAATA